AAAGGATGTTTGGCTTTCCCTAAAACAAGATGCAACAAAAATGTTTCATTCAATTCAAATCATAAAACAATATTTGATCTACTTATAAGCACAAACATGGAATTGACTTGAAGTTTACAATTTGTACTTTTGACCAAATTCTCGATATTCATTTCAATTGAGAAATAGTTAACATAAAATTAGACCTTGCTTTTATTAAATCAGCAGTAGTGGCAACGTCTGAGGGTTAATTTTAAGAGTTTGTTCTACCAGCTGATAATGATGTCTATGCTACAGTACTTCTGGGCAACCCACCCACAAGTAAATCAGGTAAATCAGGTTCCATATCCATACCTGGATCTTTACTGTCAGTTTGCCATTGGAAGTTATTCAGTGTCAATGTTAACCATGACAAAATGTAAAGCAGGGTAACAAACCACTACTAAATATGTTACACAGTACAAAAATAAGAGTAAAGCAAATATATTCGGTCACAGTGGAACTGATATACCTCTCTTGAGCCTTCCAAGATATCGTTCTGCATGCAGAAAAAGAATAAATACACAGACGCAGTTTAAAGAGTGATGAACTACCTCCAACTAATAGAAATGATACTTCCTAGAAGCTTTCATGTCATAATACCTTCTTCCTCCACTTCTGAGAACAGTCTAATGCTTTTACTCATAATGGTTCAAAGAATAGTTTGCTGAAAAAACTAATTTACACCTTACACCCAAATGTAGTCAGTCAGCTAAGACATGTTCAGTGTCTGAAGTTTGCTTCACTAGTTTTGCACTGGAGCTGCAAGGCTAATGCTAACAGGAAATAGAAGAATATATACTACTAATCAGAATTGTGCCAGCCTAAATGATCACACACTTACCCCAAACCGTGTTGTTAAGAAATCTCAAATAGACTAGCTTATGTGGTTTTTGACACTGTGTGACATTCTTGTATGTATAAAAAATTACAAAATTGAGGCTTCAAGATGGATGCTGTCATTGTTTTAAGCTATGCTAGCTTTTGACTACATTCGCCTCTGAGGCTGATCCTCAGAGCTACAGACTTTCACTACCTAAAGCAAAATAGCTTAAAACATTTAGTCGTATGCAAAAGTTTGAACATCTCCGGATGAATGACGTTTTGTTGATTTTCTAAACGAAAGTGAGTTAACACATTCTCTACAGAGAATAAACTTTATGTTTATTTGCTGAGTCTGACATATTTAAAATGTGCCATAAAACATTTTATGGGTTCTTTTCCCCAGATATACTAAAATGAGCAGATAAACAGTAACTGTGCATTGCAATATGCTGAAGTGTGTTTTCTTAGAAAGACTACTTAGATAACCAATAAAACATATATTTTGCACATGACTGTGTAGCCCAGCAATGCTGGATCAGGTTAACCCAGTGTGTGTTCTGTTATATAGTGACCCAGCCCTGGGTTATGGATATGACCCAAATGTTTGCATACAACTGCATAAGGCAGATAGCATTCGCAGCTAGCGTCCAGAGAATATGAGGCACCTAACCTTATGCTCCCTGCAGTTCATTTATGGATTATCGTGCAAACTTGTTAAAATGCAACAAACGTAAAAAAAATGGTACGAACATTTAGGGTATTGGCATCAGACACATCAAGACGTAAATTATTGCTTATACCATTTACAATATCATACTGGTACATACATACTTTCAATACTTTTACCATATTGGTTTAAATTTAGAACTGAAAACTTATTTCAAAATCCTTTCACTTTGAATGACTCTATACTTTGATGTTTTTGTTATTAAAACTAATTATTAAACATTCCATTTTGTCACGCAAAAACAATCATAACACTACCAAAATTTTACCAAATGTTTCAGTAGTGACTACTTCGGCAGTGAGAATTTTAGTTAATTTTGAGCAGAACGTAAAAACGCCAGTACATGAGAAGCTAGCAGAGCTTTTACAGTTGTACACACATAAAATCAAATATTTTTCCTTAAAACACAAAAAGTTTACTTAATTGCAGAAAATACATTTCAGTAGTGACAATTTTTAATGTTACACACTGATTTTCAGACTTTGGGACACATTTACTTACAGTTTGGATCTAACTGCTTACCATGTGGCCATGAGGGATAGGGATGCAGTCTCACTTCCTGCTCTAAAATGCAGGGGTGTGGCTAAAATAAGGCTCAGCCTATGGGATAAAACTCTGTGTTTCAGTAGTGACATGGCAATGTGGGTCAGCATTTTTTTAATAAAGTACTGAAAAAAGTAAAATCATGATAAATCTAAATTGTTCAACTTGACTTTAAAAGAAATCAAAAAGATCGTTTAAAAGATCTGGCAAAAAAAACAGCAAGGCCAGAGAATGTGACCATAGCTTTAAAGGAATAGCTTGACCAAACAGGCTAATCTAGCCACTGATTTTAGCACAATGTCATTTCTCCAATGCTGTGGTGTTAATTTTTATTTACTGCTTGCATCATTAGCTTTTTGACTTTAACAGAGTTGCACCACTTGGCGAATCCCCTCAGAGTTTTGGCTATCACAGATGTTCCAAAACTTTCAAACCGTCTGTTTTTCCCCAGGTTACCATCACTTCTGCCAGCAAGGCCCAAAACAGCAATTCACTGGTGCTTTTCCACAACCCAAAGCATTCTCGTTCACAATGAAACACTGAATAATCCTCCACAGAGCTTTTTTGCCCTCAAAAAATAAAACCATGGAGCTTTTTTTATACCATGTAAAAACTGAAGCAGTAAAAGGCAAACCTAGAGGACAATAAACATTCCTAAATAAACAAGCAGCTACCACTGGGTGCCATAAATCCGTCTTCTAAACAGAGAACTAAGGGAAATTAAAAGTGCAGATTTATTTCGAATAGGCAACATGGCTAGTATGGAACATAAAGCAAAGCACTGAGTAGAACAATGCTATACATTTAAAAGCCTCTGAAGATTCATCAGTATATTTATAAAGATCAAGACCATATAGAGGACAGAAATCAACACAGAGCTATTAGTTCAGGACTGAGGGGGAAATGGTCACTAAAGTTCTAATAGGCATTATAAGTATAATATTGAAAATACATAATTGAAGTTAGAATTCCTAGAAATAAAGAACATGGATATGAAATGAACTGAATAAAACAACTAATGAAGTTCTTCATCATTATTTTTTTAACTTTAACTCTGAATTTGAACTGAAGACTGAAAAAAAAGATAAAGCAGTAGAAGGTTAACAGCATTCACACAAAGGGAAACAACCAGATAAACAACCGCTGAATGACATCCAGTGTGAGGAAGCTGAGTGCATCCTCACTCACTCATTTGGTCAGTGTAGCTGAGGGACTGAGAATAACTAGAAAGCAGGGATGCAGGAAGGTGTTTTAAGTTGGGGTGCTTAAATTTTAAACAGCATATAAGTGAACCTGAACAATGACGTCATGCAAATGATTTGCCTTTTATTATTTGTCTGTTTTTCTTACATTTATATCAAGTAGGTGTCATAACATGCTATAATGAGGTGAGAGGAGACAAAATACAAAAATAACTGAAACATCAAACCGCTGATGCATACTCTTTTTCTGCTCTCTCTTTCTGGATGAACTTTATGCAAATGAACTGAGCAGTGACCAATCAGATTGCTGATATTGTGTCTTGAGATTAAAAGTGGAACACACACAGAGTGGGAGATTTAACGGTTGATTAAAAAAGCTATTATTATGTTCAATTTCTTGTATTTTAATATTAAAGTACAATATGAATTCAATACAATATAAATATAATATTAGGCTGCTTTGGGGCTTGGAACACTTTTCCTCTTCGCACCTCAACCCGCTTGTATTTTAGAGGTGTGCCCCCAAGCGGGCAACAATTGTTGGGGGAAGTGTTTTCGTTCGTCATATTGAAAATACAGTGTTAAATTTAACAGTGTACAGCTACTGCGGAATTTGAAATTATATACACTCACAGAGCACTTTATTAGGAACACTGTACTAATACTGAGTAAGGCCTCCTTTTGCTCTCAAAACAGCCTCAATTCATCGTGGCATGAATTCCACAAGATGTAGGAAAGGATTCCATTGAAATTCTTCATGTAATTCCTGCAGATTTTTCAGGTTCACTTTCATGCTGTGAGTCTCCCATTCTAACACATCCCAAAGCAGGATTCAGATCCGGTGCCTGGGAAGGCCACTGAAGAACAATGAATTCATTGTCATGTTCATGAAGCAAGTTTGAGACAACTTTTGCTTTGTGACATGGTGCATTATCATGCTGGAAATAGCCATAAGAAGTAAATTGTGTAAATTAAGAGCTGCACATGGTCAGCAACAACATTCAAATAGGCTGTGGTATTCAACCGATGACTAATTGGTAGGGCTCAAAGTGTGCCAATAATTGGTGCCATTTCCTACACTACTGACCCTACTATCTGTGTGCCTCAGCAAAAATGGAGATTCATCAGACCAGGCTACGGTTTCCCAGTCTTCAACTGTCCAGTTTTGGTGTGCCCACAGCAGCCTCAGCTTTCTGACAGAAGTGGAACCTGACTCAGTCCTCTGCTGTTGTAGCCCATCCACCGCAAGTTTTGCCATGTTGTGCATTCTGAAATGCTTTCCTGCCCACCACAGATGTACAGAGTGGTTATCTGAATAAGCATAACCTTTCTGTCAGCTCAAACCAGTCTGGACATTCTCCATTGACCTCTCTCATCAACAAAGCATTTCCATCTGCAGTACTGCTTACTGGATGTTTTTTCTTTATTGCACCATTTTGCGTAAACTCTAGAGACTGTTCGGTGTGAAAACCACAGGAGATCAGCAGTTATAAATAACTATGAAAACACAGATTTACACACATATTGATTTGCATCTTGAATTTACTTCCTTATCATTACTGTTGTCAAGGTCAGTTAAAGCTCTAATTCCTGTCTTTGCATCTGATATCATTAAGAGGCTGCTGTGGGGTCTTAAGGGGTAAATGCACAACGGTTGTGTGTGTGTATGACTCTGAAGGACGTACCATGATTGTTCCTCCTGTCTGGGTGCGTAACGGCCTCAGCACTTTCCGCTGCACCAGGAAATTGGGCAGAAATATAAGCGGAGGGATTTCCGTGATGGTGGCAACCACCAAAGACCACTGCAGAAAGATAAGAAAACACACACACATATTTTCACGCTAAAAAGCAAGTGTTGATTATACTATAGATCTTTATCACAACTTCAGACTATTAGGAAATACAGTAAACAACAAACAAGGCACAAAAATGCACCAGTGAGACAAAAATTCAAGCATAACACAAAAGCACAGCTTAATGTTAACATCCTGGGCCCAGTTCCCCAAAAGCATCATAGTGTTAAGATCATATTAACTCTTAGAAGTCTAGAGCTATTATCAATTTTTTATAGCTACATTTGATTTAAAGTTCATGTCTGCATTTCTTTTTTCATTGTTTTTCAAGGCCAACTAATGACAAAAATACAGCAAAAATGAGAGAAATAGTTAACATAAAATTAGACCATGCTTTTATTAAATCGGCAGTAGTGGCAACTTCTGAGGGTTAATTTTAAGAGTTTGCTTTACCAGCTTATGATAATGTCTATACTACAGTACTTCTGGGCAACCCATCCACAGGTAAATCAGGTTCCATATCCATACCTGGATCTTTACTGTCAGTTTGCCATTGGAAGTTATTCAGTGTCAATGCTAACCGTGACAAAATGTAAAGCAGGGTAACAAACCACTACTAAAATATGTTACACAGTACAAAAATAAGAGTAAAGCAAATATATTCGGTCACAGTGGAACTGATATACCTCTCTTGAGCCTTCCAAGATATCGTTCTGCATGCAGAAAAAGAATAAATACACAGACGCAGTTTAAAGAGTGATGAACTACCTCCAACTAATAGAAATGATACTTCCTAGAAGCTTTCATGTCATAATACCTTCTTCCTCCACTTCTGAGAACAGTCTAATGCTTTTACTCATAATGGTTCAAAGAATAGTTTGCTGAAAAAACTAATTTACACCTTACACCCAAATGTAGTCAGTCAGCTAAGACATGTTTTGTGTCTGAAGTGTGCTTCATTAGTTTTGCACTGGAGCTGCAAGGCTAATGCTAACAGGAAATAGAAGAATATATACTACTAATCAGAATTGTGCCTGCCTAAATGATCACACACTTACCCCAAACCGTGTTCAGTTGTTAAGAAATAGACTAGCTTATGTGGTTCTTGACACTGTGTGACATTCTTGTATGTATAAAAATGTACAAAATTGAGGCTTCAAGATGGATGCTGTCATTGTTTTAAGCTATGCTAGCTTTTGACTGCTATTGCCTCTGAGACTGATCCTCTCTGGGCAAACCCATAAGGTTTGTGTTGACTTAAGCTGGGCCCTACACTACACAGTTGTTTGCCTGATTTTAACCTTGATTTGCCCCTTGAAACAAATGTTCACAATCTGAAGCAATTTTCCAGATCGGGAGCTCAATTGGAAGCGACTAACAATGCAGATAATCTGATAGCATGAAAGGAGAAACAAATGAATTTTTAGCCTTCTCATTTGAACTCTGAAGTGATCGGAGGCTCTCTGATATTATCAAACATGTTTAATATGTAAGACTCGAAACATTCACAAATCCTGTAGTGTAAGAAGGTCAGAGATGTTCTCAGTGTGATTCAAACAGCAGCCAATCAGAGAGCTAAAAGAGTGGAGAAAAAGGCAAAGACATGCGCATGCACACCACCTGAACTGCAGATCGCAGAGACAGAAGAGCTGCGTGTAAATCACAGACAAATAAGAGCTATTATCATGTTTTTAATGTATGGATCCAAACGACAAGGCACTCTCTTTACAATTTCAGCTCAGCTGCCAGTTTGTAGCGAAATATTTCTCCAGCTCTTACTGTGATATCAGCATCTCTCAACCCCAGATTAATCCCCAACTGTCCAAGAATGTCCTTGACCTCTTCTGTTGGAGAGGCTTTGTTTGATAGTTCTATATTCCTATATTTCTATAGATTTTTGTTCTATAGTTCTACACATGATTTGTAATTATTAATAGTTGTTGTCTGAACTTTGGCTGTACTTTTGTCCATTTTCATAGATAACAGTATGTCATGCAGTGTCAGAAACCACATAAGCAAGTCTATTTGACTATAGACATAGTTTGAGGTAAGTGTGTGATGATTTTGTGATGAAGCAGTTTAAGCACTTTAAATGACCATGCTAATGATAATGTACTAATTATGTCAGTTTTTAAGCATCAGTGAAGAAGTCCAATTTACACACCTTTTCCCTTGACATCAGCCAATACATGTTTAGTGTCTGATTTGTACTGAAGCTGTGAGGCTAAGGCAGCTAATAACTAATGGAAGCCTATACCTCAACAGTTAGCATCATATAAACTACTTAAGCTAAATCATCACATACTTTCCGCAAACTAGATCTAGTTGTTAGAATAACCTACTAAAAACTATAGAAATATGGCAATATAAAACTATGAAACGAAGCCTCTCCAATAGGTGAAGAGGTCAAGAATATCCTCATTGGACAATTCTCACATCCAAAAACAAGCAGAATTCAGGCTTCAACACGGTTGCTAATACTGTTTTTAGTTATGCAGTGCACATTTGTCCATTTTTATAGAAAATAGTATGCCATACAATATAAGAGACCAAGAAAGTCTAGAAGATGACCTAACAACTCGACACAGTTTGAGGCATGGGATGATTTAAGCAGGCAGTTTGTGTAATGCTAACTGCTAACCGTTAGCATTAGCATTAGCAAAGCTAAAGAATGAACCTTAAAACATCAAACATGTCTTGGCTGATCGACTACATTTGTGGATACGAGAAAATTGAATAAATTTGTTGTTTTTTTTTGTTCTTCCTTTAAGGAATGGAGAAAGTTATTTTAGCATAAAGAAACATTCATTCCCCAACGTTGTGCTGTCAGCCAGCACAAAGACCACACAGACACCAAGGGGAAAGACACTGAATGAGTCATGCATCAGCAAATACAGTCGGAAAAAAAGGCTATGAAAAGGGGCAGGCCGCACGCTGACCCTGGGCATGCACATTCAGTTTCGATTGCTAGCCGCAGAGCCATTAGGAACTCCCTTAACTTAGCGGTCTTGCAGAGATACCATGAAGGGCAGTTGACTCATGCTACAAAAATAAAAAAGGGACTTGGCGCAAGTCTAGCTGCAGGGGACTGTGACCTGATTGATCGGGATGGAAATCAGTGCCTCCTCAGGGTAACCCAGTGCATTTTAATTGCACACGCTTTCTGCCTGTCACTGTTCTGACGTTCACGAGGGAAATGCAGCACATCCAAAAAGAGGAATATATACAGGCAATGGAAAAAGCTTGACTAGTAACTTCACACAATGAATTTAACAATTTGTTTCTTTAAAGAGGACTATGTAAATGTTAACACATTACACACTGGGCCTCAGGACGCATTCGTTCTTGTTTCAAAACACATGTTGGCTTTCAAAGGAATTTTTCAGCATTTTTAATCTAATCTCAATCTGCAACATCTGTAGCATCAATTAACATAAACTATATTTTGGATGTGTTTTCCTTCGCTTTTGATTAATTAACATTTATAATAAGATACTTTCTCTGGATAGACAAAGCACTTTTTGTAAGTCGCTCTGGATAAGAGCGTCTGCTAAATGCTGGAAATGTAAATGTAAATGTAATAAAAGCTAAAATCCAAAGGGGAGTCGCTGAAGTTCATAAGTGAGGTTTAGGCAAAAATTCTTCAGTCAAAAGTATTTGTAAATGAAGCTGCTCATCTGTATAACTGGTCCTTTCAGAGATGGAAGATTTCCTAGAGGGATGAATTCATGATTAACTGCTACCAGCATAGTGGTGTGGGTGGGGTTTTCACCAGTTCCATTTGATTACAATTGACATCATGGCCTCGCCCAACTTCGACTCACCACTCAGAAGTGTGTCACACCTGCGTTACTCAAGCGGTCACTCACAGCACAGGGGGAGAGGGGCCTGTGAAAAGCGTATTTTTCAATTGAAACACACTCGCCCTCGGCTAGGTTAGGTTCAGTGAGCCATGCAAACTTTGCAATAAAAAACATTTTTCAGAGGTCTGAACATACATTATATGGCCAAAAGTATTCTAATTACTGAGTTCAAGTGTTTCAGCCACACCCATTTGCTAACAGGGGTAAAAATCAAACACTTAGCCATGCAATCTCCACAGATAAACACTGACAGTAGAATGAGTCGTATTGAAGAGCTCAGTGATTTTAAATGGCACTGTCATAGGATGCCACCGTTGCAACAAGTAGGCCTGAAAAACTTCTGCCCTGCTAGATCTGCCCTGATCAACTGTAAGTGCTATTAAGTGTATGTGAAATAAAGCATTTAGGGGGAAAACCGGCTCAGCCAAGAAACAGTAGACCGACAGTAGACCACACAAACCCACAGAGCAGGGCTGCTGAGCACTATCCTCTGTTGCACCACTCACTACCGAGTTCCAAACTGTATCTGGAAACAACATCAGCACAAGAACTGTACATCAGGAGCTTTATGAAAGCAGGAGCAGTAGAAATGTGGAGTGATGACTCATGCTTGACTATCTGGCAGTCTGATGGACAAATCTAGGTTTGACGGATGCTAGGAGAACACTATCAACCGGAATGCATAGCACAACCAGTAAAGTTTGGTAGAGGAGGAATAATGGTCTGGGGCTGTTTTTCAGGGATTGGACTCGGTCCCTTAGTTCAAGTGAAGAGTAATATTAATGCTAGAGCATACTAAGACATTTTAGACAATTACATTTACCTTTCTGGCAACAGGTACTTTCCTTTTTCAGTATGACTGTGCCCCTGCTCACAAAGTACATAAAAACAAGGCTTTATGAGTTTGTTGTGGATAAACTGCAGTGGTCTGCCCAGAGTACCCTGACCTCAACCCCACTGAACACCTCTGCAGTGAATTGGAACGCTGATTTTTCAACATCAGTGCCTGACCTCACAAATGCTCTTTTGACTGAATGGGTACAATTTCTTACAAACACACTCCAGAATCTTGTGGATAGCCTTCCCAGAAGAGTGGAGGCCGTTATAGCCACAGGGTGGAGAGAGGAGGATAACTCCATGTTAATGAATGTGGTTTTGGAATAGGATGTCCAACAAGCTCAGATAGATGTGATGGTCAGGTGTCAACGTTTTGGCCATATTGCGCACATCAATTTTGTCAATAATTGCTTTCTCTGGCTTTGGTTTATAAGCTTTGGTTTAGAACTGTGTTGCACCGCTTAAATTTTTGTTGCTGCTAGTTATGTTGTCTTTATCATGCTAAGTATCAAGCTATCACAGTAAAGTGACAAAGTTGTATCAGCTGTGAAGTATAACAGATGAACTAATTTGCAACCTTAAACCTCTTCTAAACACAGCAAATCAAATGCTATGGTTTTGCTAGTATTTTATTGCACAGAACTCAGCAACTGCTCATTGGCCTTTTCTAAGGGAAACCTAAAAAATACTGTCCATGGTAATATACTGTACAATACAGATGCAGCAGACAGAAATTAGATTCAAAAACACTTCTTTACTTCTTTAATCTGTAATTTTTTATTCTTCAGCTTATTGTAACCTTTTACAATCAGTGTTTAGAACAACAGTAGTTGGAGAGGGGGGCTGACAGAGCACTGTCATTTTTTTAGCCAGTCAAACAAAAAGACAACATAAAATAAAGCAACTGTACCTTGAGTCTGTTCAGGTAGCGCTTGGTGTGAACCACCAAAAGATCCTCCTCACTGGCCTCCCGCGCTGGCACGATCATTTCATCTGTGATGAACTGTTCCTCTGTGGAAACATCAGACAGACAATTCTGCTTAAAGGGAACAGATCAGAGATCTGGAGAAATGTAAAAGTTAAAGCATCCCCGGTAAAACTACATATTTTGTTGATTTTCAAAGTGAAAATATGCTAACACACCCTCTACATGGAACAAGCTTAAAAATTACATTTTTCTGCAAGGTTTAGTGCACAATTTCTATTTATTTGCAGAGTTTAAAATATAGGATTAAAATAAAACATCAGATAAAAAATTTGCACGGCCACATTTTATGTTACTTTTTTCTAATATGTTAAATTCAACAAATAAACTGTAATTATGCACACAGTAAATCAACAGAGCGTAATTTGACCGGGGTACCCAAACTTTTGCATACAACTATAACAACTGTGTGACTATGATTTATTCCGTAGTTATGTTATGAATTAAATTTACATTCAATACACTAACACAAATGTGGTATGGACTAATAGGTTAGAGTTTCAATGAGACATGAGTGAGAAATAATTCATATAAAATTACAGCATGCTTTATTTAACAGTGGCGCTAACTGTGACCTCTAAGGGTTAAACGGATGTGAACTACTATTAAATGTGAGATTATTACTTCCCTGAAGTTTTCCTACAACTACACTATACAGAGCTTAACAAGACATCTCCACGCTGGCTTAAAAGAGTGCTGATGGTGTGGTGCTTTGCTGATAAACAAGGCCATGAGCAGAAGAGGCTTTATTGCTGACGGGTTTATCTGAAACGCTGCCAGAGTTGCACTCTTCCTCTGACCTTGTGCTCAAAGCCGAAGGATTTTACCTGCACCTTTTGCCCCTCCCGCTGGGGTTCAGCTTCCCTCATTATCTCTGCCTGCCTCCTCTTGCTCCCTCCATTCCATCATCACTCCCTCCTCTACTGTCTTTACAACCACCTCCTCCACAAACTCCCCTGAGTACTGAGTCAGAATTGTTGTCATGTGCTATTATATATAGAGTAGGCCTGCAATGATGTCAACAAATTTGATTACATTAACTATGGAAAACAATCAATGTAGCATTTAATTTATCCCTTAAGTTATTACTTAGTATTTATCCAGTAAGTATTACTTACTACTAGTTATTACTTTCAATTTTCAACACTATTCAAATGCAATTATGGAATTACATATTGAAGTACATAGTTAGTTGCACAATTAACTAGAAGGGGAAAGATTGTGAACAAACTTTAAGTTGCCTTAACAAAGCTGTTGCTAGAAAATCCCAGCTGGTTGCTAGGTTTTGCTATGTTATCCCAGGTGGTTGCTAACATGTTGCTAGGCCATTGCTATGTTATCCCAAGTGGTTGCTAGGGTGTTGCTAGGCTGTTGCCATGGCATTACTGGTGGTAGCTAATATGTATGAATATGTGTGCTAGCATGTATGTGAGTCTGTATGTAACGTCTATGAGGGGTAGTGTGGGAGATGTCCTGTAATATCCTTGTAATATCATTTGTGGCAGTTACTTTTTAATTTTCGTGTCTAAGCAAACTTTGTACAAAAACCATATGTGCGATCGATCCAAAAAGCACAAAGTTTTGTGGTTCTAGCTCAAAAAACTGCAGCCTCTGAAAGTCGTACAAAAAGGGTGTTGAATAATAAAACAAAGAACAGTAAACTGGCTTTGCCAAGAGAACTTAATTACATTTATATTTCATCTACATTCATTTATATTTCATTTACAGATTTGGGTTTGCAATTCTGACTTTGCTCTTTGGTTTCACTGTCCAGAAATGACAAAAATATTGCAAAACAAGACCATATACACAACAACAACTTTTTCTCAAATTGAAATCATAGTAAATGATCTCCTCTTCTACTTACAGACATAAAGGTAAATGATAAATTAAACATTTAGAATCCACACTTTTCACAGAATTTTTCTACTTCTTAGAATGAGCAGTGAGAAATAATTAATATTAAACTGCTTATAACTGCTTCAAAGCTTAAAAAACAGAAGCTCTCTGTAAAGCTACACAATACACAGTCATTCAGACAGACTGCAGTACACTACAGGAAACATAGGGGGTGATATGGCTTCCAGTGTTCCACTGCATCATAAAAGAAGAACTGTTGCAAAAATAATGCTTCAATTAGTCAACTGATCAAATTACAGTAAATAGATTAATCAATTATGAAAATCATCATTAATCGCAGGCCAAAAGGACCAAAAGTCCCCTCTTCCCTCAGCTGCTTACGTCAGGCAGGGTTACCTTTTAAAAAGTGGATGACCTTGCCCCATTTGCCAGCGTCAAAGGGATGGAGCTTCTCCAGACCCATAAAGGTGATGTTATACTCTGGGGAGTAAACAATTGGCAGGCATGTTGAGGGAACCTGCACATACAGCTGCGTCTGGTGTGAGCTGGAGGAAGAGAAAGGGAAAAGTAGACTTATGTTTATCACAGTTTTATTCCACATTATGCAGCTCTCCTGCAAAAAACACCACAACTGTATTACTTGGTATTACTTGGCATTGCATTTGATGTAAAAAAAAAAAAAAAGGTTTAAGCCTTACTTTTCTAAAATCATAACAGGTTATTAATACAGAATTAACAGGGTTGGGATGTAATGGAATACAATTACTGGAAATCTGCATTCAGAATACAGAAATTAAGTATCTGTATTCAGTCCATTTACATTTTAGAAGAATACTTATAGAATATTTACCTACAACACAAAAAGGCTTCTATCTTTTTGTTTATAAACACTGAAGTTCCTACTAAAGCCTGAGTAGACTGATAAATCACTGTGATGAGCCAGTTATAAATCTCAGTGTTTCTGAGCTCTGCTAAAGCCTGAGTAGACTGATAAATCACTGTGATGAGCCAGTTATAAATCTCAGTGTTTCTGAGCTCTGCTAAAGCCTGAGTAGACTGATAAATCAAAGTGATTTGCCAGTTATTTATCTTAGTGTTACTGAGCTCTTTAAGAGATTATCAAACTAATAATCTCCTCAGTAGTGAATATGTCTACAAATGATGTCTGGCAAGTATTAGCATATATTATAAATGTATTCTGAATATGATTTTTTTTATGTATTATAATGTAATATGTTACTGAATACATTTAGGACAGTGTATTCGGTATTCAGCCATCACGTCTTTTTAAAAGAATTTTGCCCAACCCTGAGAATAAAGGCCTATTTAAGGTTTGTCACTCACAATATTGATTCTGCTGTGTTTGGCCCTTTTTTGAAATTTTGAGTGAAATTCTTACCCCTTATTTCCTTCTGAAGTTTCTTTGCTGGACATCTTGGCCACTGCATCCCAGTTTTCAACTTGAAGAGATTAAAAACAGGAACAGAGAAATGCAAAATAAGGATAACCTGCACACGCACTAAATGCAGCACTACAGAATAAGTATCACCCAATGAAACACTTAGATGTACATACTTTTTCTTAAATTTTAAATCAAAATTTACAAATAAAAAAAAAGAAATAAACGGTGTTCTACAGTAGAACAGCGGTTTTCTAAGGAACACAAATGACAAACTACGTTTCCCACAATCCTCCGCCATGCATGCGCATGCGCCCCAGCAATTCATGAGACGCAACACTCAATGTTTTGGCGAAAATATTTTCTTGGCATTTCATTTCAAAATCTCAGATAATCTCGGCGGATTTAAGGCACGTAATGATCTTTAATGCGTTTATTTCTTTAAGGGCTCGTTGCCCAAGGAACCGACTGAACACGGACTTTGACAGAAAATCGCTGTGTGCAAGACTCACCTGCTGCTAGCCATTTTACAGTTCTCTCATGTATGCGGTGAGATTACTTTCCATCCTTCTAGTCGTTTATTGCACAAAGGAAACATGCTGCAGTCTTCTAAAATGTCATTTTGTGTTTTTACATCCAAATGTGTGCAGACTGTCAGAAAGCCCGGACCTGCAATTCCTGCAATTCCGATTACTCTGTTTCCGCTGTCTGTCCGCGTGATTACGTCACACGTTGTTGACAGTTGACAGCAAAATCTAAACAGATGCACTAAAATCACTAAAAGTCACTTATGAAATCAACCTTTGTGGTGCTTTACACAGTGTTAAACAATAAACACGAGAGTTTTCGTACCCACTCTGCCTGTTTAATTGATATTGTGCAGTGACGTTATTGACTCTGAGAAAATATTTGTGGGAAAACAGACAAGCTGCCAAATTGCTGCAGTCATAATCAATATTGTGACAATAATGAGATGATTATTATAAATTACACCTAGTTTCACTACTGCAGGTGAAACACGTTGCATATAGCTGTCTAAATGGCACAATAATAATAATAAAACTGTAAAAAAGATGTAATTAGCCTATCTCATGCTTTATGTGTCTGTTTACAGCAAGTGAATGGATACCTTTGTAGAAATGACATGCTTAGATGCAACATATTAATAACTATATCATACCTAAATGGAAGCATAATTCAAATGTTGAGTTAATCAAAATGGTTTGATGTGAAATGGCGCATTGTATTCTCTCAATAAACAGACCATTACAGAAATCGGATGTATGGTCATATAGGCACATATATCATAAAGGGATAGGCATATATTGCAGAATAAATGTACATATATGTTGTATTATATAATATATATGTATATATATTATATATATATATATATTATATATATATATTATATATATATATATATATATATTCATATATGTAAGCATCAAAGATTGGGCATATATGCATAACGTATGAACCATACATATATGAATTGAATACACCCCAGTACTGCTATAACTGCTCCTATTTTATCTGTTTGCTTTTAATTATAAAATATTAAATTATTTAAATGTGTCAGGAGACAATATTGTCATTTATTTAATGTTTTTTTTTGCACAACTTACAATGTGCATGGTTTTAAAATTAATTATGTTGCTATTACACTATTTTTTTACATTACATTAGAAAGTATTTGGAAGAAACTAAGATGCATAAAAACTTTCTATTATATAACATAAAGCTAGCATATATAAGCAAAATATGTAAAATAATGTTTTCTATCATATCATGTTAAATATATGTGTTACATACATTTGTATAAGTTGATATTTGACAGACATATATGCCCCATGTTTGAAAATTTCAAGTAAGTTGATATATATTTTACATCTATATGCAACAAATGTTAGTTAGATTTAGGGGAAATTTCATATATGCTTATATATGTCATATATTTGAAGTCCTAATGGTAACAGTTGGCCTGATTTTCGATGTATTTAATGGTTTTCTAATAGGATTTAAAGGTGTTCTACAGCTAACTAGTGGTCTTTAATGATAACTATTAAGTTAGTTCCCATTAGCAAACCAAACCATAAGGTTTTAAACCTAAAGGTTTTAGTGTAAAGACTAAATTTCTTTACATTGGTAATGACTGGAACCAGGGGTCCTGAGGTCTCCAACGCAAAGAAAAACATATCATTTACAACTGAAAATGACCAGTGAACAACTAACAAGGCTCTGCATCTGTCTCTCTGCCATTAACAATCTTAAAAAAAATTAAATTAGGCCTAATCTTTATCACAAAACCATTGTAAAACAATGGATCAGGCATCAGAGCATGTATTTGTAACTACACTATATGAACAAAAGTATTGGAACACACCTCTTAATCACTGAATTCAAGTGTTTCATTCAGTCCCGTTGCCACAGGTGTATAAAAGTCAAGCAGCTAGGCTTGCAGTCTGCATTTACAAACCATTGTGAAAGAATGAGTTCTAAAGAGCTCAATAAATTTGAGAATTTGACATTTGACATTTCTTCCCTCCTAGATATTCCACGATCAACTGTGAGTGGTGTTATTGAAAAGTAGAAGTGTTTAGGAAACACAGCAGCTCAGCTACAAAATGTCAGACTATGTAAAGTTACAGAACGGGGTCGGGCATGGTGTATAAAAACACTATAAAATCTTGTAGAAAGCTTCCGAAAAGAGTGGAAGTTGTTATAGCTGCAAAAGAGGGGACGAACTCATATCATTGCCTATGGATTTATAAAGGGATGTCATAAAAGCTTCTGTAGGCGTAATGTGTAGATGTCCCAATACTTTTGTCCATTCAGCGTATTTCATGTAATAACTGTAAGTGATATTGTTTTTCGAGTCATTAAACATTTCAGACATCTGGTTTATATCACCACCACTGTGAACAATCTGAAAAATCAGAACTTTTGAAAAATTGGTGGAATTCCCTCTTAAAGATGCAAAGATATAGTTTATGACGTATGGCATACCAGCCTACTGCACAGTACTGCTATAGCATACCTGCATTCTGCATTAGTGACTCAGTATCTTCCCACAGTGTGTCACCACAAAATCTCCATAATTTCACAAATTTCAGTGCAATTGCAACAATATGACCAGCGTGTTGCCTAGCAATTCAGGAGAAATGTGACTTGTTATTTGCTTTTCCTGTGCTGGGTGATCCAGTCCCACGCTCGCTGCCCCCAGCGGTGTGTTTGCTATAAATAGCACTGTGTGTGTAGCACTTGCGTAATGATGATGTCGTTGCAGAGGCTCAGAGATGAAGTAAGGCTGGATCTGCTTTCTCATTGGCTCCCAGCGTTTAGGTCAGTGAGTAGCCCGAGAGCGGAAGACATCCGCTGACCATGATATCAGAAAACAGCGCATTTCAACGCTCTTGAAAGAGAAGATAATGCTCAGAGCTTACTGGCTCATATATCCAGCCTTTCCTTTTATCAATAACCCTAATGCCTTCAGAGGCTCTGAAGTGAGCTGAAGGAACTCAGTGCCACCATGTAATGTGATGCGCTCCCACAAAGTGTATTCTCTCTCTGCAGGCCTATTCTTTGAAGCAAGAGCAGCCCGTGGCATGGCCTGAGTAGCTTCTCTGTATAATGGAATATATTTGCATAAATTGAGGTCAGTGCTGTCGATTTTCATTTGTAGAAATACAGTCTTCTCTTTCTTTTTCTCAGCAGGAATAAGCGACCCTCTCCCTAGGTGAACTTAATTAATGCCTTGGCATTCAGGTTTTTTTTGCTTTTTAATCTGCAAGAAATTGCCTTTAAGATGCTCGTCCAGTGCATCCATTATAGACTTCGCTGAAGATGTCCTTCACTGAATACCTACCGTTTACCGCTTAATAAAGGTTGTTTATTAACCCTCAGAAGTCATGGTCATCATTGGCGATTACTAAAGCTTGCTGTAATTTTATAGTAATTGTTACTCACCCATAGCCAGTGGTGTAACTACCGGGAGGAGGGGCAGTATTTGCACAGGGGGGGCTGTGCGATTGGGCCCCTAAAATCTTTATTGGGCCCCTTAAAAACACTGACACAACTATACATGCATGACTTACAGAAAGATCCAATTTCTTAACAGTATATCTCACCAGTTAGCTTCCATCAACCCTACACGGACAGCACTGACCTCTATAGACCATTGAAGTCATTCTGTAGGCAGCATCATGCCCATAATAGGAACTTGAACATTTTTTAAAAACAATCAGGTTTTTGAAAATCACCATTACTGTGCCAAAAACTTATTATGTTTTATCCTACTTACATTTTTTCCTCTGAATGTCACTGCTGTGCACTGTTCAGACATCATTAAGCAGACAAATACACAATAATGCCCCAAACAAACCAGCAAGCTTTGTCAAGTGTAGTAGTTAAGTTGCTTTGGCAGCAGTAGAGAACTTTTGGTGAAGCTAGTGTTATGACATTACAGTGTCGAAGATTAATAGACTTATTTTCGTGCAGTGTTACTTAAGGTAGCTTGGTATTAGCACAGACCTGGCAACGTTTCAATTTCGGCTCCTTAACAACCTCATAATTCAGAGGATGCAGTGACATTCAGAGGAAAACTGTACACAGGCTAAAAAACATTGAATTTGGAGTCATTTTGTGCATCACAGAGCACGATAGTGGGGTTTTAAAAAAAATATCTTTGCCATAGAGAAATCTAGCTTAGACCCATAATTAGTAATGTGGGCATGATGCCAACTACAGTATGACGCACAACTTCAGAGGTCTGTTTATCTCCCTCTTACTCATAAAGCATCTCATGCATGGTAACTGTCACAACCTGCAGTATGTTACAGTACATTCATTATTTATTTCTTTTTAATCTTAAATAGGAAGTCTAACATGAACATTTAGGTTGACATTAGACGCTAGAGGGTAGAGAGGCATGCCTTGAGTGCATCATAAGTCATATGCAAAGGTTTGGGCGCACTAGTCAATGTCATGTTTTGTTGATCTCCTAAGTAAAAATAAGTTAAGACCTCCTCTACAGAGAACACACTTCTGCACTTTTTATTACGCAATTACTGTTTGTTTGCTTTAAATATTGGGAAGGAAAGGAAAACATAAAATGTTGCCTGTGCAAAAGAAACGTCACATTTTACATTTTATGTTTTAGATTTTAAATATTTTATATTTTATTGTTTTATTTCTTCCATTATGTTAAAAATCAGTTAATAAATAGAAATTGTGTGCTAAAATTTGCAAAAATGTTGTATTTAAGTTTTCCGTAGACTAGGGGTGTCCAGTCGTATCCGCAAAGGGCCGGTGTGGCTGCAGGTTTTCACTCCAAGCAAGCTGAAGCACATCTGATTCATGTGTTTAATAAGTTGGTCCTCGTCTTCAAGCATTTCATCAGGTGACCTCCTACTTTGTTGGAGAGAAAACCTGGAGCCACACTGGCGCTCTGTGGATAAGATTGGACACCCCTGCTGTAGAGGGTGTGTTCGCTTCCTTTCACTTAGAAAATCAACAGAACATGTAATCTGACTAGGTGTTTTCTAACCTTTACATATAACTGTAAAAATAGTGAATACACTGGTGAAGCAGTGGCTGGGAGTTTCAACAGGATGTCATTGTGAATGTGGGTGGGTTTGGTTGGGGTGTGTGTCGGGGTGTTGGAGCAAGATTGGTCAGTTGTTCCACAGACTACCACTAGTGA